GAATAGCTGGGATTACAGGCATGCACCATCATGCCCAGCTAATTTTTGTATTTTAGTAGAGACGGGGTTTCACCTTGTTGACCAGGATGGTCTCGATCTTTTGACCTCGTGATCCACCCGCCTCGGCCTCCCAAAGTGCTGGGATTACAGGCTTGAGCCACCGCGCCCGGCTATCTTATTTATTTTTTAAAGATGGAGTTTCACCATGTTGGTCAAGCTGGTCTTGAACTCCCGACGTCAGGTGATCCATCTGCCTTGGCCTCCAAAGTGCTTGGATTATAGGCGTGAGCCACCGCGCCAGGCTGGGCAGAAATCTTTCAAATGTCATAGTGTGGCAAGGTCTTCAGTCCAAAGTCACTCCTTGCAGGACATCAGAATGTTCTTCTTCTTTTTTTTTTTTTTTTTTTTTTTGGGGATGGAGTTTTGTTCTTGTTACCCAGGCTGAAGTGCAATGGCGTGATCTCGGCTCACCACAACCTCCGTCTCCCGAGGTCAAGCAATTCTCCTGCCTCAGCCTCCCAAGTAGCTGGGACTACAGGCGTGTGCCACCATGCCCAGCTAATTTTTGTATTTTTAGTAGAGACGGGGTTTCACCATGTTGACCAGGATGGTCTCGATCTCTTGACCTCGTGATCCACCCGCCTCGGCCTCCCAAAGTGCTGGGATTACAAGCGTGAGCCACCGGGCCCGGCCCAGAATGTTCATTTTTGAGATAATTGTTCCAAATGCAATAAGTATAGCAAACCATTAAGCATTAATTGATACTGGAGTCAATTCAGCACTGACTTGAGTTTGATTTGACTTAACATTCAGTTCGAGCATTAATTGACATAAAAAGTGTTTATGTTAAAAAAGAATGGGCTGGGCCTGGTGACTCACCTGAAATCCCAGCACTTTGAGAGGCCACAGCAGATAGATCACTTGAGGTCAGCAGTTAATGCAGCCTTTTTTTTTTTTTTTTTTGTGATGAAATCTTTCTCTTGTCACCCAGGCTGGAGTGCAATAGTGTGATCTTGTCTCACTGCAATCTGTTATCTTGCAGTTAAGCAATTCTTGTGCCTCAACCTCTTGAATAGCTGGAATTATAGATGCATGCCACTATGCCATGCTAATTTTTGTATTTTTATATATTTTTTCTTGAGATGGTGTCTCGCTCTGTTGCCAGACTGGAGTGCAGTGGTATGGTCTCAGCTAACTGCAACCTCTGTCTCCCACCTTCAAGCGATTCTTGTACATTAGCCTTGTGAGTAGCTGAGACTACAGGTGCATACCCCAATGCCCAGCTAGTTTTTGTATTTTTAGTAGAGACATGGTTTCACTGTGTTGGCCAGGATCGTCTCAATATTTGACCTCATGACCCTCCCGCCTTGGCTTCTGAAAGTGCTGGAATCACCAGAACAAGCCCCCCAACTTGGCCTGTTTCTTATTCCTGTAAACAAAAACTAGGCTGGTGCGGGGCTAACACCTGTGATTCCAAGATTTTGGAAAGCCAAGGTGGGTGGATCACCTGAGTTCGAGATGAGCCTGTCCAATATGGTGAAACTCCATCTCTACTAAAAATACAAAAATTAGCTGGGTGTCGTGGCAAGCACCTCTAATCTTAACTACTCAAGAGACTTAGGCAAAAAAAGTTGAGCCTGGGAGGTAAAGGTTGCAATGACCAAGACTGCCACTGTGTTTTTCCCTGGGTCACAGTGTGAGGCCCTGTTTATTTAAAAAGAAAAAAAAAAGACCGGGTGCGGTGGCTCATGCCTGCAATCCCAATGCCTCCATTGCTAGAGGTTAAGCGTGCCAGACCAGCCTGGCCACGGTGGCTCATGCCTGTAATCCCAGCACTTCGGGAGGCTGAGGCAGGCAAATCATGAAGTCAGGAGATTGAGACCATTCTGGCTAACAGGGTGAAATACAGTGTCTCCTATAAAAAAAAGTACAAAAAATTAGTTGTAGTCACACGACCTGTGGTCCCAGCTACCTGGGAGGTCGACAGGAGAAGGCTGGAGTGAGCTAATACTGTGTCACTGCACTATACAGCTTAGGCAACACAGCGAGTACTTTTATCTAAAATACTTAGTTCCATATAATCTTTCTATATAGTCATATAAATACTGTAGTCTATATAATCATATAGGCATTGTAGTCGGAGCTGTACCGACACATTTGGTGCTGATTTATATAATCCTTCTATATGACTATATAGTAGTTTGTTGTCGGAGGAATGCCTATAGCAGTTAGAAAGCGGAAGCAGTATATAAGAAAACAGCCAGACCAGGACAAGAACCAAAGACCCAGGCGGTGGCGTCCCTGCCTGAAAGGGCATAGGCTGTATGGCAGTGAAGAGAACAGAAAGGGGAGAGGATTTCTATTCTGTGGATCGTCAGCATGAAATTGTAGGTCCCGCTCAAGCAGGGCTTTCAATTTCACATTCTAGTTTGCATTTCCATTCCAGACAATTCCAAGGCCTTTGAATCATCCCTCAGCCTTCCTGACCGGTCTCGCCTCCAAACCCAAAAAACTGGCGCTGGGAGCCAGGCTGAGAGACACACAGCTCCCACCACGGCCCGCCCTCTGCTAGTTCTCTCCGCCTCACGCCCCGCCCCTACCCTGCGCACCCCCTCGTGGGTCCCGCCCAGGCCTGGCTTCAGCACTGCGCACGCAGGTTCGCGCAGACCCGGAAGGGGATCGCGTGGAATGAAGGTCACACGGCGGTGCGTGAGTTTCCCTCTGTCTCGTCTGCGCTTCTCAGGTCCCCGGCGCTTGTGTACCTGGGAAGTAGGGTCCCCACAAACCGGGAAATTCTCACCCTGTCCTCCACCTAGTGCAAATTGAGATATCCCTGTGAGAGTGGGGGTCGCTTACTTTTGGGTTTAAAGTTGCCCTGCGGCTGGTCCCCTTTCCTGTCTTTCTGCCATAGGGCAATGTATACACTTTTTATTGCATAATTTTTCCGCTCAAAACCTTTTTCTGACTACTCAGGCTTAGCTCTTTTTGAAGTCCTCACGCGAGAGGTGGATTCCCGCCCTGGGCACCTCCCACCCTCGCCTTCGTCGCCCCTTGAAGCCCAGCGCCACGGTCCCAATCCTGGGGAGGCAGCATCCTCTGACTCGTCCTGGGATCCTTCAGACCCCACCCTTGTCTTAAGGCGCCGTCGCCCCCCACCTCCTTCATCGTGCGGAGCCCTGCTGCTCCCCAGTTCTCCCCTCTGTAGTCACCGCTTCCCCTGAGCCCGCGTTGGGGAGGTGCCCAGGGCCTGTCCTGTGACACGAGGCGTTGTTACCTGCCCAGCTCCAGCCCTTGGGAATTGTGCTTCTCTGGCATGTAGACAACTTACTCCAAACCCTCCTGTGATTGTGTGGGCCAAAGGGATCACGAGACAGAGAGAAGTAGAAAACCTGAGACAGAGAAAAGAATCAGAAAGACCCGTAACAGATGGCACAGTAGAGAATGGGTGAGGGATTTGCCAAGAGACAGCAAAAAAAAAAAGAGAGAGAAGCAAGTGGAGAAATGTAGAGAAACGCGTGATGTACAGAGAGACGAAGCAAGGCAGGGATGGGCCAGCAAAGAGGGAGGCTCAGGAGAGTGAGAGACGAGGTGGGATTTGGAGCCGGGGCAGACAGAGCAGAGTGGTGCTGGTGGCCAGAACAGAGGGAACCACAGCACGGAGGACACCTGGGAAGGTGGGGTGCCAGAGAGTGGGTACGGGGGTATAACAGGGAAGAGAGAATTTAACAGGGAGAGCAGAGGACTTGCAGAGATGGAAGAAGAGGCGGAAATATATGGAGATTAAGGACGGTGGAAAGATGAAGAAGGAGCAACAAGAGCTTAAGTAAGTGGCCAGGATGGAGCAGAAGAGGTGGAAGAGAAGGAATAGAGGGGAGAAGGGGATAAACAGCAGAAGAGGAGAGCGGTACAAAATGAGGAGCAGAATTCCAGAAAAAATGACAAGAAAAGAGCTAGAGGGAGAAGGAGAGAATGAGAGACCAGCTGGGCAACATAGTGAGACCCCCATCTCTGCCCCCCCACCAAAAAATTAACTGGGCGTGATGGTGTGTGCCTGTAATTCCAGCTACTCTGGAGGCCCAGGCAGGAGGATCACTTGAGCCCAGGAGTTCCAGGTTGCAGTGAGTCAAGATTATGCCACTGCACTTCAGCCTGGTCAACAGAGCAAGACACTGTCTCAAAAGAAAAAAAGGGACGTGAGAGCAATGTATTCTCTCTCTCTCCCTTTTTTTTTTTTTTAAAATAGAGACAGGGTTTCACCATGTTGGCCAGTCTAGTCTCGATCTCCTGG